AGCTGGGATGCCTCAATCAGCTGAGCTCGCTCAACGGTCTCAGCATAAGTCAAATAGCCATGGCTGGCTACGAGCACTCGAAGGTCTCTGGTCAGGCCGTTGCGGAAATGGGAGGCCTTCTTTTCATCGGTGTCCACAAGATGGCGTGCAAAGGTGCTCTTACGAGCAAACTCTCGCTCGTACTCCTCAACCGAGCGGTCTCTCTGAAGCAAGTCATAGAACTCTCGCTCCATCCTCTCGCGAAAGTGGCGAGGGTAGTACTTGGTCTCCAAAATCCCCTTAAGCTGATCCCAAGTCAGCTGGTCTCGCTCGTCAGCTGTCCTGAGACGCCAGTAATCGTCCCACCAGTCTCCGGCCGCACCCTCTATCTGAAACTCGGCACAAGAGACTATGTGCTGGTCGGATATGCCCATCATCCGAAAAATACGATCCATCTTGCGGATCCAGTCTCCTACGGCCAACGGGCCCTCTTCTTCAGTGAAGACCGGAGGGGCGTAAGTCCGGAACTGGGCTGCGACTACTGACTGATCCCGCTCTGTGGGTGGAGCTCTACGGGGCGGCATTCTGAATAGCCAAATAACAAATTGATTAGTATAGCCAATTAATAAATAGCTACACTACTTGACGAATTTAAGTAATTTACCAAAAACACCTAGCTTAGCTAGAGTTCCGGTTTCTGCTTAACACTACTGATTCTAGTTCAAATTCTGATATAGTCTAGAGTTGGACTTAGATAAACTTTCTAGAATTCTGTCTAGAGTTCTCTTTCTAGTCGAAGGATAGATGGCCCCTAAGGTCTCTTACTATGTTCTCATGCACTTGCAGAAATTTAAAACTTAGGTGACTTACCTCGGAGTCGGCGCGGCGTGAGCGTGGCGTGGTCATGCTTTTCTAAACTTTTTAAGTATACAGAACCACAAAGTAGCTCTGATACCAACTGTAACACCCCGCCTAATTATTTCTAGAATTTATAAAAATCAGAGTAAAATTTTCGATTTTTATTTTCGAAAAACTCTTAAACTTTATTTTCGAAAATACTCATACTAACTTGCGGGATGCTACTAACTTATACTCTTTCTCATGCAGACGTAAATAAATACATGCAACCTAATCAAATCCGTTATATAAGGGTACCACGGAGATATAGGTATTATACATGCATAAGTCTGATAATCTCATAATACATACTAAGTCTGGAAAGAGCGGAAGCTGAAACATAATAAGTCTACGCATAGTAATAATAGTACATGTTCAATAAACAACATGCAGATGCGATACAAAAAGACAGCTAATGACCACGACTGCCATTGAAATCTCACGCGCCATGCGCCGCTCCGTCACCTGAAAAACGTAGTGGGGGCGTGAGCAAAACCGCTATGCTCCGCAAAGACCAGTACTTAATTATATAGCATCGTTAATAACAATATCATGACTTTAAGTATATAAGAGCTGAACTGAACTGAAACTGTAACTAGGGCATCTGGTGGTCATAAAGACCCTGGGGCTTAAAAGCCAATCATGTGCACACTCCGGGGGATCATTAAGGCCAATTAAGGCCTCCCTCAGAATCACGGGGGAACATTAAGGCCCGCCACGGCCTCCCTCATGATGAACTATCTATTTCTCATACATACCTCGGACATGGTACGGAAATTAAAGATGATATAGAACCAGTACGTGACCCCCACCTGATAAACTGCTACTGTTAGGCAAGTGCTGACTGACTGGTAGCTGTCGGAGGCTCGACTCTCCTTAAGCTACATAAATATTTGAACAAAATGTACTAAGTACTAAGCTCAAATAAAACTTGATTCTTATTATTAATAGATCTTACTCGGTTCTCTCGCTCGATTAAAATATCATTTAATCTGAATTTAGATGTTTTGAGCTGATCTGAAAAGATTTGCTGACTTTGAGGCATTCTAGGGTTCTCTGAAATATTTCTAAGTCTGGTCTGCTTGTCTGATTTTTTGATCTAACTTATCTGACTGATCTGATCTTATTTATCTGACTGGGTGCAACTCGACTTAATCGTAGTCTGGGTGCATACGCACGGACACGACATCAGTCGACGCACAACTTTCTATCCGGATCTAGAGTTCATCCGGACTGACCGAAAAAGGCCAGACTAGGGTTCTCTACTCAACTGGCTATTTATCTCGGTTCAAGTCAACTCATACTTTAAGTTCAACTCGATTCCCAGTAATTTCAGCTAAATCTCAACCGGATAATTTCTAGGGTTTTCACCAAAGCAGCTAAAGTCTCGAATTTATAGGCATGCCAAACAACCTCTAAAAATTATTAAATTTTAACCATGACATATTTAGCATTTATAGGATTTTTCGTGAAAGTTTCATCGAATTCCGAGGTCTTTTCATATTTATCAAAAACCGGGCATTTTAGCTACATATTCAAAAATCCAGTTAACATACTAAACGAGCACCAAAATTTACGAAATTAAAACCTAGGCCTCAAGTCAGCTATACGAATTTTATCATATTTTTTTCGACATTTTTAACGCGTTTATCGAAAATATCAATTTACTCGCTTTAAGCTCGTGTATACCGATCCAACTCAAATCCACATCTCAATTAATTTTTAGCTCGTTTTTATCATCAATTTATCCCATATCGTTCAATTCTTTAGATATTATACCTCACGAGATCGGAAAAGAGCGGATCGGACTAGAAAATGGAAG